CTTTCTTCATACCTACACCCATCAACAATAACCTCAGAAAAGGCAGACACCAATAGATTTATCATATCAACTTCCTCACTGTACCTCCACTTCAAATGTCCAATGTCCTCACCTCAGTCATGTGAGTGCCTCCAGCTACTCCACTGCTTACCTCTGGAAATCTCGGCCTCACCCTTTCTCTATATACATATTTAACCTCCCACGCTAAAACCTACCTCTTCAACTGAGCCTATGGTCACCTCCACTCTTCGCACCTCGCTGGGCATCTGACCCATCACTCTGAAGCACTCGGGAGTGGTTGTCTGATAATGGATGGCACTGGATAAATACAAGTGGTTTTTGCTGCAGAAGCCATCCAATTCACACTGTGGGTCAGTTTCCACAACAGCTGGATCCAATTTAAATCAACTGCACTGATGCCAGCGTGCACAAGCACACAGGAAAGATCAATCAGACAGCCCAACAAGCAAAGCTGCCTCACGAGGTGGGATGACACAAGCTTCCAATTGTCAATCATAACCGGGCCCCACACACACCTCTCCATTTAAATCTCCGACTCATTGGGTATGAGTGGCTCCTCCTCAGAGTTAAACCATCCTCCGAAGTTATAGCTCCCTATATATAACTTTATCAATTGACACAGCCATTTCACACAGTATTACATTGCCTAGTACAGGAACACATTCAATAGAAAGAAACGTGATTCAACCTTTCACATTAAAATTGTTACTTTTACATGAAAGGCACGTTAGTTATTTTAAAAATATTTAAAAATTCAACATCAGATACCACAACATAGTATTTTTTTATATAAACGCAGCTGTAATTGTAAAAACAACAATGCATGATAAAAGGATGATCTGTTTGGGAATAGAAAGACACTAAAATGGCAGGATTTCCATCAAAACCGTTATTTTGGACAGCCGAATGTTTGATGCATACAAAAACCCGTCACAGTGTTTAAGAGCATGCAAACCAGATTGAGAGTTCCACAAATATATGCCACTTACACATGGCAAATTTACCTACGTTTGGAGTGGAATGGGCACTCTCCATCAAAATCAATGGGCGGATAAGCAAAGCTGCTATTTAAATAATAACAAAAAATACAGAATCGTTCATGTCAGGAGGATGTCCCAAAGCGCTTTACAGGATATAATGTGTTATGCAGTGACTGTGTGAAATGTGGCAGCCAGTTTGCGCACAGCAATGTCCCACAAACAGCCATGGAGTGAGTGACCAACAGATGGGATCACGGTTTATCATCTGTCTATAACACCTCCATCAAGCTTCCCCCCACCCAGCACTGCATTGGAGTGTCAGTCTAGACGGTCTGATTCCAAGTCCCGATGTGTGGCTTGAACCCACAACCTTCCGATTTAGAAAGGCGGCTGAGCCAGGCTGACACACAAAACACCAGAAACCATTAACATGTTGAAATGTTTACGGGTCCCTGTGTCTGTTTGCGTGTGTGGGGAGAGGGAGGAATAAACATAAAGCTCCAGCAACTTTGCAGAGGAGGTGTTTTGAAAGCATTGTTTGAATAATGTCTTTTTGCCCTCAATTTTTTTCACTTGCAAGAACTAGACGAACCCGTTTGTTAGTCGATTTCCGAGGGTAATAATTCTACCCACCCCCAAAAAAATGTGGTCACTCAGTCCACGAATGTTTGCGGGGCGCTGCTATGCACAATTGGCTGCCGCGTTTCATGTGTGTTTGCAACACACAAAAAATGGGCATCTAAAATGTCCAATGAATACAATTACAATTCGCAGTTAATAAATGCAAATGTGGGTGCGTGTTTTTCTAACCCAAACAAATGTGCATTCTAAAATTTGCAATTAATAAATGCACGAGCGGAGTAAACTTGGGGATGTTTTCTCAACCTTCTGCACTTGAAGGATATTTGCAAAAAGCCCTCCTTGCCTCCGTCTCTACTTGGGAGAGGGAGCTCTCCCCCACTGCCATCCAATCTAAACTCAATTCACACACCCGATGCTCAGGATGCTGTGTACAGTAAGTACCTTATTGTGCAATGCACCAACTCCTAATCAAGGTGAAGGAACGCGGTCCAAGCAAATTACAACTCTTTCTCCCCCCCCTCCCCAACCCAACCCTCCCTCCTCTCCCCCACCGTTCCCCCCTCACCCACCCACTCTCTCCCCTCCCACCCCTCTCCCCCAAATCTACCCCCACGGGGTTACAGAGGCACCCGACCCCTCCCTCGCCCACAGGGAACTGTGATCCAATGCTAACAAGTGGCCAAGGCAGATCCTGTGATATTCCCTTCAACAGCGACTTACTGCATTATTGATCGTTCAAACCCACACGCTAAACGTCCCCCCGATCACTGCCGGATGAATGGGCAACACATCCCAGAGAGCAAGCCATCACCAGGACAAATCCTGCTTTGCTGCGGGCAGCCAAATCAAGTGGAAACACAAATGGTCGGCAGGTCTGAATGAGACAAGACTCTTCCTTTGCCTGTTTGCAGTGGGGTTTAAAGGCAACAGCAGCCTTCAAGCATTGCTTTCATTATTGCTCTGGGGTTGGGTTGGTGGGGGGGGGTGTAGAGTAATAATAATCGACCCTGCTTTGGATGGAGGCGCCTTTAATTATTATTATTATTATTTAATCAAGCTTCCATTACCGCTAACAAGCTGATCTGTTCAGTCCAACATTGAAGCTGGCGCTGGGAAAAGCTGCAACCACTCGAGAGAACGTTTGGAGAATTGTAACGCCTGTGACACACACACACACACATATGTATACACACACACATATGATATATACACATACATATATATATGCACATACATATATAATATATACACATACATATATATAATATATACACATATATGTGTATAATATATACACACACAATGACATGTGCACACATATATATGTACACATACATATATAACACATACATGTACACATACAATATATAATACACACACATATGTACACACACATAATATATACACACACACATATAATATATACACACATATATATCTAAGATACACACACACATATATATATATACACACACACATTCCTGGGCACTCATTCACTCACTGGCAGTCTCACACCTCACTTTATTGCTGGAAAGCTGGATTTGCCAATGTGAAAAGGCCGTTTTACACTCACTCACTCTCACACACCTCTCTCACACACACACACACTCACTCTCACACACACTTACCTCTCACACACACACACATTCACTCTCACACACACACACTCACACACACACTTACCTCTCACACACACATACTCACTCTCACACTCACTCACTCTCACACACACACACATACCTCTCTCACACTCACTCACTCTCACACACACACTTACCTCTCACACACACATACTCACTCTCACACTCACTCACTCTCACACACACACACTCACACACACACTTACCTCTCACACACACATACACACACTCACACACTCTCACACACACACACACACACACACTCACACACACACTCACTCTCACACACACACTCACACTCACCTCTCACACACACACACTCCCACTCACTCACTCCCACACAGAGTGCCACTGCAGTCGAGATCCAACAAGAGAAGCCCACAACTAACCCTCTGACTCGACTCAACGCGACCCCCAAACTTAACTCAAGGTTATTCCAAGTCCAATTAACCTCGAGTCATTTGTACAGTGAAATACGAAAGAAACTGACAAACAACGGGGTGGAAGGAGAGGGGAAACATACACCAATATTTCTTCTCTCCCCCCCCCCACCCCCTCTCACCCCCACACAGCTCCCTTGGCTGATCTCCTTTGCTTCAGTTAAGCCTCAAGATACATTTTGCCCTAAAATGCAAAGACTGAACCCAAAACCTCTGTCGTGTAACAACCAGCGATTGGATACAATGCAAAAGCTCAGGATCATGAACATTACCAGTCAGTCAGGTCCTCTGCCCCTCGATCACTTTAACACCCAAAAGGACTTGACATGGAGATGCTGGTGGGGGTGTGGAGGGGGAGGGGGGAGGGGGGTGTGTGGGGGGGTAACACCCCACTTTTAATTCATTCATCCATCAAACTAATCGCACTCATAGATCTGCCTGGAAACTGCACAGCACTGTACCCTGGTTTAGCAATTAAAAAGAAACCCTTTCTGGTTATCTCTGCTGCTGCTTCTCTTTGAGTCGGTGAGAGACTGAAATAAATCCTCCAGTTAATAAGAAAAAGGCTTAGAGCTGATCCCCAAAGTCTTGCTGAAGCCTCGACAAAAGGGAGAACGTTTCTCGCTCTCTCTCTCTCTCACACACACACATACACACACATACATACATACACACACACTCACATACATACACACACACATACACACACACTCACACACACACATACATACATATATACTCACACACATACATACATACACACACACTCACATACATACACACACACACACATGCACTCACACACATACACACACACTCACACACACACATACATACATATATACTCACACACATACATACACACACTCACATACATACATACACACACTCACATACATACACACACACATACACTTACACACACTCACACATACATACACAATCACACACACATACATACACAATCACACACACATACACACACTCACACACACACACATTCATACACACACACATACATACACACACATACATACACACACAGCTCTGAAGTCCTTGGACACGTTATCACAAACATTTAACACAAATATCTAAAGAGTCTGCGTTATCAGGCAGCTCAGGGTGGGAGGGGGTGGGGGAAGGGGTGGGGGTGGGGGGGGAGAGAGAGAGAGAAAAGAAAAGAGGTGGATTGAGAAACCAGGAGAAATTCAGTTTTCTGAATTGGGAAGAGGAGAGGGAGAGAGAGGGAGAGGGAGAGAGAAAAAAGCAAAAGCACAAAAAAAAGATTTTTTTTTTGGTGGTGGATGAGAAATTCTTTTCCTCCCCATTTTCCTCACCTCTCTCGTCTCTGGGCTGAAGATTATCCCTGTGTCTGTGGTTGCTGTGAGCTGCCAGGATGATTATTTTCCCCCTTTTTCTTGAAAGCATTGGAGTCGGTGGTTCAGATGTGATGAGATGGTGTCTCTCTGTGTGTGGTGTGTGTGTGTGTGTCTCTTTCTCTGTGTGTGTGTGTGTCTCTGTGTGTGTGTTGTGTCTCTTTCTCTGTGTGTGTGTGTGTGTGTCTCTCTCTCTCTGTGTGTGTCTCTTTCTGTGTGTGTGTGTGTGTCTCTCTCTGTGTGTGTGTCTCTCTCTCTGTGTGTGTGTGTCTTTCTCTGTGTGTGTGTCTCTCTCTCTCTCTCTCTCTGTGTGTCTCTTTCTCTGTGTGTGGGGGGGTGTCTCTCTCTCTGTGTGTGTGTCTCTGTGTGTGTGTGTGTGTCTCTCTCTGTGTGTCTCTCTCTCTCTCTCTGTGTGTCTCTCTCTGTCTCTCTCTCTCTCTCTCTGTGTGTGTGGTGTGTGTGTGTCTCTCTCTCTCCCTCTCAGTCGTTGTTGGGAAATTGTTTGGGAAAAGTTCACTCCTCTCTCTCCTCTCCCCCAGTGCTTGAGGTCACAACGTTAAAACGTCGCGATACTGAACACCACTGGAGCAGATTTTTTTGGAGCAAAACTCCATCTGCTGTCACCTGGAAACTGCAAACTGTTCTGCAGAAAGAAACCACATTTACTGAATGGGTTGTGTTTTTTTTGGGGGGGGACACACTCCAGGGACAGGGAGGAGGGGGGGGGGGGGGAGAGAGGGGAAATTGCAGTCTGATTTGTTAATTTATTGCTGATTATTTATTGATTTGAAATTTTTTTCTCGTTTGAAATTTGCAAACTGTGCCACAAGAGAGCACAACGTCGATTTTTTTTTAATTATTGTTATTAATTAGAATTATTAGAAGAAATAGAGGTTTCAAAAATAATCGATTTTATTGAGCGTGGATTTATTTCGCCCACAACGACGTACACAGTCGACGGTATATTCCGATGAAGCGCTTTCAGACTTCTCAACGACGTGATGCTTCGCTGTATCAAATGCAAAGATTATTATTATTTTTTTTATTTGTAAACAAACATATTTCAGCATAAACTAGCTGATGGTGGATACAATTTGCGACTGTTTCGAAGCCAGTGAAAGCAGACTCAGGGAAGGTTTTGCTTGTAAACAAGTACTTTACACAGTGATACAATCACACAGTGAGATATCATGTTGCTTTCTATGGGCTGTTTACAAAGTGTTGTTACCCCTATGTGTGTGTTTTTTTACACACCCACTGACCAACAACTGGAAGGTGTGGAAGAATGATGATAATTGTATTTGAGACATTTTTTTGAAACCGTTCCTTAAAAAATCCTTACGTACGTTTTCCATTGTCTTCGCGATCCTCGGCTGTTCGTAGACCCACAGACTGACCACAACGTGTTCCTCCATGGTCTAGTTACTGGTATCGCACACTGTTCAACTCGACTCATCTGCAGCAGAAATCCAAATACAAGAATGATTATTATTATTATTCAGCCTTTAATTCTTTCTGCACAATATAAGTAAATATTATCCACTGAGAGTGGGTTCAATGTCACTGCTCGATGACAACACACAGAACAATTAACAACAGCCATTACAGCAGGTTCATCAGTAATTTGCACCTGATTTCCTTGAATTCCTGCAAGCCGTACATATTTATATGAAGTGAAACTATTTTACGTGCCTTGTGTCAAGGAATACCAAGCAGTTTGCAATATCACCCAGCTGTCAGGATGTGGACTGGTAGCTTCAAATTAGATATGGTTTGACAAGCAGCAGAGACCTGTTTATACTTGCAACCGACTGTTGGTGCAAATGCTGGGCTGAGTCTGCGAAGGTGCCAATGCAAACCAGATGTACCATAACTGACTGCAATTAAATTGCAGCCATAGATAATGTGCACTCACACATAACATGCACTTTTCCCTGTCTCTCTAACCGGGATCAGATAGAACATGCACTCACGTAAAGCAACACGCCTGGCATTTTATACCCAGTCTCCAAGGTTACCCAGTGAGCCCCCCTAGGACAGTATGCTCCAAATGGCAGGCGGTCTGAACAACCTGCTGGAAGCGAACAGAAATTACAGTCATGGCCTCCAAGTACACTGCAGAATTCCATACAACTGGCAGCCGTCCTCCCCACAAAATGACAGATACTGATATAAAATATCATAAACTTATAGATTTGTAATGTCATTCAGTGGACTCCTGTAGCGTATTGGTTAGCGCACTCACCCCGCAAGCCAGAGGACCCGGGTTTGATTCCTGGGCAGGGCAAAACTTTAGGCAAATTTCCTTACTCCACACACCTCTGTTTACCTAGTAGCAAGTAGGAACCCGGATGTTAGTCGATTGGCGGATCGCTTTCCAGACTAATAATCCCTCAAAATATGACTGTTTGTAGGACACTGCTGTGTTCAATAGGCTGCCGGGTTTCGACCACAAAATATATAGTTAATTCACTCTACAGTACATTCTGTGAGATGCTTTGAGACGTTTCAACAATGTGATGAGACGCTATATCAAATGCAAGGATTATTATTATTCAGGCAATCTTATGTGGGAATATCAACAACAACAACTTGCATTAATATAGCACCCTTCATGTAGGGTACATATCGCGAGGATTTTGCTATCACCCCCCCACCACCCTGCTCTTCCCACCACTACAAAATGTAACCCAAATGAAGTGAGTCTGCAAGTACATGGTCACTGAAGTGAAGTGCTGGAAGCTCAAATTGGCGCATAGATGTGGAGAAAGACTATTAATTAGACGTTTCAGTGACCCTATCTTGTGAATTTTCTTGTTTGTTACCAGTGAAAAGTAGCACCAAACATGACAATTTAGTTGCTGGGCAACGAGTCCGCCACTTAGCATTAATGTCACCACACCAACTAATGTGTAGCCATTTCTGCCTTGCAGCGCTGCACAGGAACTGCAGTATTATTGGAGCAATTGCGTGTAATATTAGCTTAAACGCGCCCCCAGGACAACAAGGGGCATTTAATGACCTTGCTATTAGTGATTATGGGAATAGAAGAATTGAGTCTGTTGAGATTTTACAGTTCATTGAGGCATCAACGTGTTACAGTTAGGCCGTGGACAACATGCACAGAACGAGTTTCCAACTGCAGCCACTAGGAGGATTCATCCAGTGGGGACATGGCACATGTCCAGGGGAACCCACAGAAAATTGAAGAGTATGGTTCTCTCTCAAGTCCGAACAACTAACTCAGGAACAATGCAGGTAGTGAGTGGTATGCAACTTCTTGATAGTAATATAATAATGATCCTTGCATTTGATTTAGCCCCTTATGAATCACATCGCTGAGGTGTCTCAAAGCGCTTCACAGAATATACTGCAAAGTTAATTGACTGTATATTTTGTGGGTGGAACGCAGCTGTCAATTCCACGAAGCGGTTACTTATGGATTGAGTGGATTGACTACATTATTTATTTATTATTTTGAAGGGCTTATTACCCCCGGAAAGCAATCCATCATCGACTAACAACCGGATTCCTACTTATTGCTCGGTAAAAAGAGGCATGGGAAGTAAGGAAACTTGCCTAAGGTTTTTCTCCGCCCAGGAATCTAACCCAGGTCCTATCGCAACACTTGACAGTATACACCAGAAAGTCCTTTGAGGCGTTTTGACATGACTAGACTCTATAATAATGCACCTTCTATCTCTTTCTAACGGACGGAAATGGTAGTTCCACGTCAACTATCTTTTTTAAAAAAATATTGGTAATATCTACAATTCTCTCTAACCTGAGACAATGGTGCAGTCGACATCTTGGAGAAAGTTTGCTTACAGTCTCCATACCTGGAGTTTATTTTGTCACCAGGATTAATTTGCAGGTTTTACGTTTTGCTGTGATCCTTCAGGAGGATAATAGGAATTTACAAGTTTCGTTTAGACATTGGACTTCTATTAAATAGGGTCATGAATCCTCCATTTAAATGTTGTTAACGTTGAACAATAGCGTTAATTAACAACAGAGACAACAATCTGAATTTGATCCTCCAGGGCAGTTATTAGATTTTAGTTCCCACAATGGTCCCTCCTGGTTCAAGCTTTCCAGAGAAAGCAGCTTTTGGTGATAATTCTGTTGCAGGGATGAATCATTTTGGTGACATAAGGATTGTAGGTGGAACCAAATTCAATGTTCTTTCTAATTACATTTTAATGTTCTAACTGGAATCTGAAAAATTGTACTTGGTACAGAGACATCAGTTCAATGCTGCCTCCTGATTTCATATCTTAAAAAAAGGATTGGCTAGGGAAATACTCCCATGCTTTTTAGTTCGAGAGGATATTTAATTTGGAATAACATAACTCGTGTTATGAATATGAAATGTAAACCGACTCTCACTTGTCCAAGTGTCACTGATGCCACTTCTTGCTCGCCACTGACGTTATTTCACAAAGGAAATAATACCAGGAACCCTTCTTCACATGTGCAGTGTGCAGGAAGTGATTTCAGCAGCGCTTACCTGTGCAAATCACACAAGCGTAGGAAGTGCCATCAGCCGTCATCTAACGACTTGAACGTTGTTCATGGTACTCCAGCATTAGAATGCATGGCCCTAGTACACAGAGTTCTAACCGGATTCCCCTGTAGTTGTTGTTTGTGTCAATGTTCTCCTATCTATCCCAACCTGAAGGCCTGACCCATCTTTGGTACCATTCTGTCAGCCCGTTGGTACATGATTGTTCCTGTGTGAGCTCAACAAGCTATTCAACTGGGAAAGTGTGGTGGGGTGGGGGGTCAGGGTTAGAAACCTATGACAATCTTCTCTCTATGGCTTAGTGCTACACCAAGAGGTATCTTCAGCCGAGAGACCATCAGGGTTATGGAGACCTACACCAAGCTTATATTTACTGCACATTTGTTTGTTAATTCAGGAGTACAACAATGACACAAAATACAGACAGACAGACAGCAACAAATTACATTACATTGGGAGGATGTCCAAGGCACTAATGCTGCACATAGCAGCACAACTGTTATGTGACATAAAGGAAGCCGAAAGGGTAGAAAACTCCCTACTTCATGAAAATAATACAGTATTTGCTGAGGAGGCCCCACTCACCTTCTACTCTGTCCTTTCCTATC